GGGGGCGGGGGGGGGGCAGGGAGGGGGACGGGGATTGGGAGTGGGGGTGGTGGAGGGGGAGAGGGGGGGGGGATCAGGAGGAAGACGAGGGAAAAGAGGAGGGAAGGAGGAGGGGGAGGAGGAGGAGGCGGAGTAGGAGAAGGAGGAGGGGGAGGAGGAGGATGGATAATAATAATAATGATAATAATAATAATAATAATAATAATAATAATAATAATTATTATAATAATAATAATAATAACATCACTAATAATAATAACAATAACAATAATATTGTATATGTTCAAGAAACAAGTTCGTAAGTCGTAATACACAGAATGCGGATAACAATAATAATTCGAAGCGTAATACTCGCTCTGTCCTCAACCCCCCTTCTTCCCCTTCGGGGAGGGGTTTACCCCTCCCCCTACCCCCTCCCCCTGGGCCTGGACAGGGAGTCCGGGGCGTAGTCAGGGGGGTCTTTTTCGACTCCTGGGAGGGGCAAAAAACGACGACCCTCACAAGGATTCTGGCCCCGTCGGGGGGATACAGTTTGGCCCCTCTGCTCTTCTTTGAAGCCAAAATCATTGATTTCACTAGGGTTTTGGCCCCATTTTGGCCTCCTGAGGGGGGGCGCGCTTCTCTTCCCTTAGCAAAATCATTGATTTTACGCAGGTTTTGGCTTCATTTTGTCCTTCTCAGGGGGAAGCTCTCCTTTGCGCTTCTGCGGAGGTCGCAAGAGGCCCCAAGATGGCCCCCAGAGGCCCCCAGGAGGCCCCCAGGAGGCTCCCAAGAGGCCTCCAAGAGGCCCCCCAGAGGCCCCCAAGCGGCCCCAAGAGGCCCCCAAGAGGCCCCCAAGAGGCCCCCAAGAGGCCCCACGAGGCCCCAAGAGGCCCCCAAGAGGCCCCAAGAGGCCCCCAAGAGGCCCCACGAGGCCCCAAGAGGCCCCCAAGAGGCCCCCAAGAGGCCCCCAAGAGGCCCCCAAGAGGCCCCACGAGGCTCCAAGAGGCCCCCAAGAGGCCCCACGAGGAGCCCGAACGACTCACACCAGGACGAGGGGCCCGAACGACTCACACCACGAAGAGCCCGAACGACTCACACCACAAGGAGGGGCCCGAACGACTCACACCAGGACGAGGCGCCCGAACGACTCACACCACGAGGAGCCCGAAGGACTCACACCACGACGCGGGCCCCGAACGACTCACACCACGAGGAGCCCGAACGAGTCACACCAGGAGGAGGGGCCCGAACGACTCACACCAGGATGAGGGGCCCGAACAACTCACACCACGAGAAGCCCGAACGACTCACACCAGGACGAAGAGCCCGAACGACTCACACCACGAAGAGCCCGAACGACTCACACCAGGAAGAAGGGCCCGAACGACTCAGACCAGGACGAGAAACCCCAAACGACTCAAACCACGAGGAGCGCTTTCTCTCCCTCCTCCTTCGCCTCGTCCTTCTCCCGCTCCCCCCACAAGGAGGATGTACAAGGAGGCGGGAGGAAGGAGGAACAGGGGAGATATGCGGGGCCAAGCGGACACACGCCTGAAAAACACGACTGTCGGCATGCTTCGCGAGAGTTGCTGCTGTGAGATGGGCTGGTGGGGATACGCGAAGCGTAAAGAATTCGAAACGTAATACTGGTACGAAAAATACCAACAACGCGAATAACAATATGACGAATGCTATATATAATGTTAAAAATAATTATCCCGGCAAAGCAACCTAACAGCGATGTGTAGGAGCATATCTGGAAGCATCCCCCTTAAGATTCAGATGAGAATCCAGTTGTAGAGTTCTGCTGTTCTCGCAGTCGTAGTCGCATTCGCGATGACAGTCGCAGTGGCAACGGCAGTCGCAGTCACAGCCTCAGCCTCAGCCTGCCTCAGCCTCAGCCTCAGCCTGCCTCAGCCTCAGCCTGCCTCAGCCTCAGCCTCAGCCTGCTTCAGCATCAGCCTCAGTCTGCCTTCAGCCTCGGCCTCAGCCTCAGCCTGCCTCAGCCTCAGCCTGCATCAGCCTCAGCCTCAGCCTCAGCCTGCCTCAGCCTCAGCCTGCCTCAGCCTCAGCCTCAGCCTGCCTCAGCCTCAGCCTCAGCCTGCTTCAGCCTCAGCCTCAGTCTGCCTTCAGCCTCGGCCTCAGCCTCAGCCTGCCTCAGCCTCAGCCTGCATCAGCCTCAGCCTCAGCCTCAGCCTGCCTCAGCATCAGCCTGCCTCAGCCTCAGCCTCAGCCTGCCTCAGCCTCAGCCTCAGCCTGCTTCAGCCTCAGCCTCAGTCTGCCTTCAGCCTCGGCCTCAGCCTCAGCCTGCCTCAGCCTCAGCCTCAGCCTCAGCCTCAGCCTCAGCCTGCCTCAGCATCAGCCTGCCTCAGCCTCAGCCTCAGCCTGCCTCAGCCTCAGCCTCAGCCTGCTCAGCCTCAGCCTCAGTCTGCCTCAGCCTCAGTCTGCCTTCAGCCTCGGCCTCAGCCTCAGCCTGCCTCAGCCTCAGCCTGCATCAGCCTCAGCCTCAGCCTCAGCCTGCCTCAGCATCAGCCTGCCTCAGCCTCAGCCTCAGCCTGCCTCAGCCTCAGCCTCAGCCTGCTTCAGCCTCAGCCTCAGTCTGCCTTCAGCCTCGGCCTCAGCCTCGGCCTGCCTCAGCCTCAGCCTGCATCAGCCTCAGCCTTCAGCCTCAGCCTGCCTCAGCATCAGCCTCAGCCTCAGCCTCAGCCTCAGCCTCAGCCTGCCTCAGCCTCAGCCTCAGCCTGCTTCAGCCTCAGCCTCAGTCTGCCTTCAGCCTCGGCCTCAGCCTCAGCCTGCCTCAGCCTCAGCCTGCATCAGCCTCAGCCTCAGCCTCAGCCTGCCTCAGCATCAGCCTGCCTCAGCCTCAGCCTCAGCCTGCCTCAGCCTCAGCCTCAGCCTGCTTCAGCCTCAGCCTCAGTCTGCCTTCAGCCTCGGCCTCAGCCTCAGGCTGCCTCAGCCTCGGCCTGCATCAGCCTCAGCCTCAGCCTCAGCCTGCCTCAGCATCAGCCTGCCTCAGCCGCAGCCTCAGCCTGCCTCTGCCTCAGCCTCAGCCTCAATCTGCCTTCAGCTTCGGCTTCAGTATCAGCCTGCCTCTGCCTCAGCCTGCATCAGCCTCAGCCTCAGCCTGCCTCAGCCTCAGCCTGCCTCAGCCTCAGCCTCAGCCTCAGCCCGCCTCAGCCTCAGCCTCAGCCTGCTTCAGCCTCAGCCTCAGTCTGCCTTCAGCCTCGGCCTCGGCCTCGGCCTGCCTCAGCCTCAGCCTGCATCAGCCTCAGCCTCAGCCTGCCTCAGCATCAGCCTGCCTCAGCCTCAGCCTCAGCCTGCCTCAGCCTCAGCCTCAGCCTCGGCCTGCTTCAGCCTCAGCCTCAATCTGCCTTCAGCCTCGGCTTCAGTCTCAGCCTGCTTCTGCCTCAGCCTGCATCAGCCTCAGCCTCAGCCTCAGCCTGCCTCAGCCTCAGCCTGCATCAGCCTCAGCCTGCTTCAGCCTCAGCCTCAGCCTGCATCAGCCTCAGCCTGAGTCTGTCTTCAGCTTCGGCCTCAGCCTCAGCCTGCCTCAGCCTGCCTCAGCCTCAGCATCAGCCTGCCTCAGCATTCAAAATGTGGCCAGGGAGTGGAATTCTGGGAACTCGAAGAACACGAAGTGGCCTACAGTTTGCTCCGGGCATTCAAAATCATACCCAGGAATGGAGTTCTGGGAAGTCCAAGAGCACGAAGTGGCCTACAGTTGGCTCCGGGCATCCAAAATGTGGCCCGGGAATGGAGTTCTGGGAACTCGAAGACCACGAAGTGGCCTACAGTTGGCTCCGGGCATCCAAAATGTGGCCCGGGAATGGAGTTCTGGGAAATCGAAGAGCACGAAGTGGCCTACAGTTGGCTCCGGGCATCCAAAATGTGGCCCGGGAATGGAGTTCTGGGAACTCGAAGAGCACGAAGTGGCCTACAGTTGGCTCCGGGCATTCGAATGTGGCCCGGGAATGGAGTTCCTACACGAAGTGGCCTACTGTTGGCTCCGGCTATTCCGAATGTGGCCCGGGAATGGCGTTCTGGGAGGTCAAGGAGCACCAAGTGTGTGACTGTTGCATCCGGTTATTCAGAATGTGGCCTGGGAATGGGGTTCTGAGAGGTCGACGAGCACGAAGTGTGTGACTGTTGGTGAAAAACGAGCCCGGCACAGGCCCGGCCGGCAACTCCCAACGCCTGCCCGGACCCCCCTGTGGAGTGATCTGTGAGCTCTTTTGAGTCAACTAGAAACCTATCAGTCTTCGCTGTTAGGTAACAACACTCGCAACATTAATGCTACTAGCATTCATGATACTGATAACAATGATATCAACACTAATGATACGAATAACAACAATAGGAACAATAATAATAGGAGGAGGAGGAGGAGGAAGGGGACGAGAAGGAGGAGGAGGAGGAGGAGGAGGATCATGAGGAGGAGGAGGGAGGAGAAGGAAGAGGAGGAACAGAAGGAGGGGGAGGAGAAGGAGGAGGAGGAGGAGGATACAACACGCACACCATTAACGCCTTGTTGTTTGATTGTTCAATGAGCGCAGTGCTCGCCATCTTTTTGCAACATGGAGAAGCAGTGGGCCTTGGTGGCCCTTGGTTTTTGCACAAAACTGATTGGAGGCTAGTGGCGCGGTGAACCTTTAGCTTTCTAAGGAACGTGATTCTGCCATCTCCAAGACACCAGGGCCGCAGCTGAGGCCACACAGGGTCAAGGTGTTTTTTTTCGTTGCAGTTTTCAAGATATGCGTGGTGTGAATAAGTGGTGCGAACCCTTGGGGTCGTGGAGTAATCTCGCACGAAGCTAAATGTTCTGTGGCTAGATGCGCATCTGTAAGAGGATGCTGAAGAGGAGGTGTCTGGGGCACGGCGGGGACATCGTTAGGCCTGCTAGAAGATTGAGGGGGTGCCTGTGCTGGCGGGTCAGATGGACAGCTTGGTGGAGGATGAGGAGGAGGACGAGGAAGAGGACAATGGGTGAGGAAGGAAACGGTCGATCTATTTCTTCCAAGGCGTTCCTGCGGAGCGTACCGCGGGCATCGGTGGCGAGAACTTTGGCACACCATGCCCTCTGCGGGTTGCCGCTGGACGACTTCGACGTGAACGCGTGGCTGGGCATGTCGGAGGAGGGCCAGTCGAGACAACGGCGGCCCTCCCTGGCGTTCCTTAGTATCCTCTTGGGTCGGGCTCGGGCAGGCCCAGGACCAGGGCGAGTCGCTCCAGAGCGTTCCAGATCGCTGTGAGAGCGTTCCAGAGCGCTCTGGAAGGGCCGCGGCGCCTGATGCCAGGGCTCGACCTGAACGGTGTTTTGGCGATTTCGCAGACCGTGTTCGCATTCCGCTTCGCAGCAAAGCAGGAGACAAATTGAGGGAAAACGGAAACAAAACGAAAAAGAAAAACACCTTTTAGGTCGAGTCCTGCCCGATGCATCCTCCAGAACCGCCGGCTCTCAGCGGTCCCCGATTGAGCCGTCCTGGTCCGATGTTGTCCCGGTCCTGCGGCAGTGTCCATACGGGCGGGAGAGCCGCCGCCGTCACGGCCCCGGGGGCCCTTCTCCGAGCGTGTACCCGCTGCACTTGCTGACGAACGCTCAGCTCCGGGCGCTGTTCGCCGCCGCTGCTCTGCCGACGCCCCTGAGCAGGGCCCTGGACGTCGAGGGCAACGCTAGGGGGTGTAGGCTCAGAGGGGTTCGAGATCAAAATTTTGCAGGTGTTTGCGCGTTTTCGTCGGTTCTCGGCGACTTTCTGGCCTCGAGATGCTCTCCAGAAGCTGCGCCTCGCCGACAGCGTTCGGGGGGGAGGGCCAGGATCGTCCAGAAAGGCCGCCCGAGTTGGCCCGAAAACCACCATGGACGGGAATGGGCATCGACCCAATTGATCGTCGACGAGGTCCCGATGGCCCACCCCGCCCAGGAGAGTGCGGAGTTGCTTTGCCCCCCTGTCGCTACCCATTAGGACGTCGGGGCCGGCGAGGGGTCGGTCACCGCGGAGCTGCGCCCGCTGTGCGCGAGGCTGGTGGCGGCCGAGACGTCGCGGGGCATGGCGGCCCGCTTGCGGCGGGCGGGGCTCGAGGTGTGGGAGGAGTCTTGGGGGGGCGCCGGGCAACCCTGCGGCGCGCCCCGGAGGGAAGGCAGATGGGGCGGGCCGTCTCGGAGGGCTCAGAGGGCCTTCGGCCTGCAGAGAAGTTCTCTGAGCCTTCTCCAAAACTCCACCGCTTTTTAGAAGGCCAGCCCCCTCTCACTTCCCCCCTTGGCGCGCCGCCGACATATGGTAGATTGTCAGGGGCAACGTCAAGGGCGCCAAACTTTGGCCTTCGGAATTGTCCTTCGGTTCTCGGCCAGGGGGCCTTCATCGTTCCGACCGGCCGCCAGAGGTCCGAGTTATGACCCGAAGACCACCCGGAATAGGCCTAGGTGGGAAGACATCGTTCCTCAATCACCAGTTGATCGCCGACGGGCCCGACCGATAGCCCACCTTGCCCAGGAGCGTGTCGTGTCGACGCCGCGGCGACTCCGGCGAGGGCGTTCCAGGTTGAACGCCACCAGTGGCCCAGGATCGGCCAGTATAGCGATCGAAGTTTGAACGGTCCACACGGTAAAGTAAGGTTTCTCAGTCACTGAGATCCCGGTTCCGGGGTCCCGGTTTGATCCGGGTTCCTGCATCCTTCTCCCAGTTCTTTGCTCCCAGTTCTCAGTCCCAGGTTCCCCGTTTCCGTTCCCGCTTCCCCTGGTTCTTGGCTCGTGGTTCCCAGCTCCGAATTGAGAGTGCTTTTTCCCAACCCTCCTGCGTTGGGTTCTCGTTTTGAATAGAGCACCGTCCCCCGCCTCCCTCCTCCTCTCCCCTCTTCCTACCTGCCTCCTTCTCTCCTCTCCTCTCTCTTGCCTGGCTTGTACCTGCTTGCCAGCCTGCCTTCTACCTCGATGTCCCACGTTTCCTCGCCATCCCTCGGGGGCTGCGATCCGCGAAACTGTCGCCACTTTCGAGAGCTGCCAGGGGGTCCAGCGGAGAGACGTCCCACGGGGACCTGAATTTGACCTTGCCATCCCTCGGGTGCTGCGATCTGGGTGTCCTGGGCCTCCACCCCCCGCTCCAACAGCTCAGGAGGCTACCAAACAGCGGTCAGAGCGGCCTGACAGGGCCGGAAACGCCCGAATAAGACGACTCAAGATGCCCCGAAGACGTGCCAAGAAGGCTCCAAGATACGCTCCGCGAGCGCCCCAGGAGGCCAGAATTCGTCCCATAAGCATGCAATTGGTTTGGCGTCTGACCCATCCCTATACAGTCATGTGTAGCTCAGGGCGTGGGTCTCTCTTCATGCACTGCGCGCCGCTGGGCAATGCGGAAAGATGGCTGGTGCGGAGCACGCGTGCACGGGTGCGCTGATTTCTGTGCTGGGCACGATCCGCGTGAGGGGTAAGCCGAATAATTCGGATGCCCCCGCGCGAACACGCCCACTGAGGACGCAGGTGGACCTCCTCTGGGCACGACCTTGCAAGGCATGTTCCGAAATGGGCGGGGGGACGCCATGCGAAGCTGCCCACTGGTCCCATAGAAGGAGTTCCTTTGGGGGCATGAATTGCGCGACGGGTGTGCTGACATGGGCGGGGGGGCGATGTACGAACCTTGTCTCTGGGCCTTGATGTGGTGCTCCTTGTGGGCACGATCCGCGTGATGGGGCGCGCCGCAATGGCCAGGGGGTGGCGCAGTGCGAACCCTGCCTCTGGGGCCGTAGGTGGAGATCCCTATGGGCCACGATCTGTGCGAGAGGTGTGTCGAAGAAAGCGGGGCGGCGGGATGCGAACCTTGTCTCTGGGGCCGTCCGTGGACTTCCTTGCGGGCCACGATCCGTGTGAGAGGTGTGCCGAAGTGAGCTGAGCGACGCTATGAAGCTTCCTTCTGGTGCCAGAAATGAAGTTACGTGCGGGGCACGATCCGCGTGAGGGGCATGCCACTATGCGAACCTTGTCATCGGGGACGTACGTGGAGCTCCCTGTGGGGCGCGATCCCTGTGAGGGGTGTGACTACATTTAGAGCTTGCCAGAGCCTAAGCGCGCGGTTCTATCATGTATACTGATAGATGCATACGTGTATGTATGTATGTATGTATGTATGCATGCATGTATGTATGTATGTATGTATGTATGTATGTATGTATGTATGTATGTATGTATGTATGTGTATATATATATGTATATACACACATTCATGTGCATCCAGCTGCGTGCGGCAAGGCCCGCCACCGTTCCAGCCCAGATTTCTCGGTGGTCTGTGCGCGAGGGAGCACGGAGGTTCTAACGTGTGACATCCTTGTATCTCCGGCCTTCGGAGGACCCTAACACGTGACGTTTTTTTTGTAGGGCTGTTTTTGGGAGCGACGCCGTCACGTGTGACACCTCGGCTGTATTGGGGTTTTGGTGCGTTTGCGAGGTCTGCGAGCCCGTCAGGGGCGATGGTGATGATGATGGCGACGACGACGACGATGATGATGAAGATGATGGTGATGATGATGGTGACGACGATGATGATGCTGATGATGATGATGCTGATGCGGACGATGATGATGACGACTATGATAGTGATGATGATGATGATGATGATGATGATGATGATGATAGTGATGATGGTCAGGAGGAGGAGGAAGAGGAGGAAGAGGAGGACGATGATGCTGATGATGATGGTGACGATAACGACGACGATGACGATGACGGTGGTGGTGATGATGAGGATGAGGACGGGGACGGTTATGGGGATCTTAATGAAACATCAACTATTCATAATGATACTGTTGTTGATGATGATAATGCTGATGGTGATGATGGTGATGATGATGGTGATGATACTGCTAAGGATGATGCTGATGATGATGATGATGATGATGATGATGATGATGATGATGATGATGATGCTAATGATGATGATGATGATGATGATGATGATGATGATGATGATGATGATGATGATGATGATGATGATGATGATGGTGGTGGTGGTGGTGATGGTGATGATGATGAGATGGATGGATCGTCACGGCTGTCAGTAAGGGCACGGGTGGTTCCCTTCACCAGCCAATTTGGTGTGCTTTTCGATGAATGGGGATACCAACCTCGTGGCCTAAAACGGGGGACGGCGGATAACTACGATGATGAGGTGCTCAGTGCGAGGAGGAGGCAGAGGAGGAGGAGGAGGAGGAGGAGGAGGAGCGCCGTCACATGTGACATCTTTCGTCTTCACTCCTTGAGGAGTCCTCGTGGACCTCATCTGGGCAGTTTGGGGGCCTCTTTTGGGCCTCTCGGGGGCCCTCTTTGGGGCATCTCGGGGACCTCTCTTGGGCATCCGTGGCCTCCTGAGGGCCTCTTGAGGCGGAAGGCTCGAGTTGTCATTTCGCGTTCTCCCTCCTGGGCCCCTCTTGGGGCCGTCTTGGGGCCCTCTGGGGCCATCTTTGCCTCCTTTGGGGCTGTCTTGGGTCCCTCTTCTGCCCGTCTTGGGGCCCTCTTCGGGGCCTCTTGGGGCCGTCTTGGGGTTCTCTTGGGGGCCTCTTAGGCGTCTGAGAACGTTGGAAGCTCGAAAAGGCGAGAATCGCAAAAACATTGAAATACGTAAGGACATTATCTAGTTGGTGAATCTCGAGGCCCTCTTGGGAATGCTCGTGGGGCTATCTTGGGACGTCTCGAAGGCCTCTAGGGCTGTCTTGAGGCCATATTGGGCCGTCTGGAGGCCAAAGTGGGCCGTCTTGGAGCCATATTGGGCCGTCTGGGAGGCATCTTGGCTTCCAGAGCGCGAATCGACGAGGGATTGTGGCCTCTAGAAGCGGGGACGATGCATGCAGGGCCGTGTGATGAGAGGGTGTGGTGGCGTCAGTCCTTGGAAGATTACATAAACCCTGCCAGGCAACACTTGGCATTCTAGCCCGCCTCAACGTGTCAGGGGGCACAGTGGCGGACTCATCGTCTTGAAAACAGAATCAGGTCTCTCTCTCTCTCACTCTTTCTCAACATTCGTTTAATTGTTGTTTCTCTCTCTCTCTCTACTCCTTTCTCTCTCACTTTCTTTCGTTTTCCCTCTCTTCCAGTTCACTGGTTCCCTGTCCAGGGTACTGGGTCGCAAGAGTTCCTCGTTCCCGCTTTCCGGTTCCCTGCTGTTCCTGGTTTCCCAGTTGTTTCTGGTTCTTGATTCCTCGCTTCCCGCTTCCTGCTCCATGCGCAGTTTCCCAGTCTCCCACTTTCCGGTTCCCGGGTTCCAGTTTCCGGCTCCCGGTTCCCGGTTCTCCGGTTCCGCTTCCCGGTTCCCGATTCCCGGATCCAGTCTTTTAGTTCCCACCTCCCGCCATGGCCGCTTTTTTCGGTTCCCGGCTCCCAGTTTCCGTTCCTGGTTCCCGGTCCCTTGTAATATATTCTTCCATGCCGACACGGTGTCAGACACCAATGCCGGGGCCGTCATGGTAGGAGTCTGCCGTCCGCACACCAGCACCAGTTTTGGCCTGCATGCCAGGAGTGCGTATGCACCGACCCTGGGCCTGGGGTTGGCCTGGCCAGAAGGAATCGCTGGTGGTGCGCGCAGGGGGCCCTCAGAAAGGACCCCGCCTTCGGTGCGCCCTCGCTCTCGGCGGAAGCCGGCGGCAGGCTGGTGGACGCGAACGGAAGTTGAGCTATGTTTTGATTATTTTGATTTAATCGCTTCGCTCATTCCGCCGGCCCGTATTGGTGCACGGCTGTCGAGTGCCCGTGTGATCGTTGTCAATGGGGTGCTGCTGGTCGTTTTTTTGTTTATGGATGGCTGGCTTTGGGTGATTTCGCAGGCGGGAACCATTCTTTGCCCGCCTGAACCTTCTGTTTCGGAAGGTGGCGGCTCGTGAATACGATCGCAGGGAACAAGACAACATTCTGCAGTTTCCTTTTTGCATTCTTCGGGCCCCTTGTCGCTTGTTGGGCCTCTTAGGAGCCTCTTGGGGCGTCCAGGAGGGTATGTTTTGATTATTTTTATTGTAGTAGGCTCCGGCCAGAGCCGCCGATCCGGGGTGCTCTGGATTCGGTGATCTTGGAATCGTCGGGGACGCTGTTTGGGAGGGAGGGCGCTCTTGGAGTCGTCGGGAACGCGCTGACGTGCCCTCTGGGGGGAGCCTGGAGCGGTCCCAGGGGGGGTCCGGGGAGGGTTCCGAGGGGAGGGTCCTGGGGGCGGTAGCGGCTAGATCTGCGGGGGTCCCCTGGGACCCCCCGAAACATTTTGGGGATGCGCAAATCATTAAGAAAACGCCCGCCTCGCCCCCCCCCGGTTCCTGGGAGGATTCCGAGGGGAGAGTCCTGGGGGGGGGGGGGTCCCGCGTACCCTCCGAAACATCTTGGGGATGCGCAAATCATTAAGGAAACGCCAGATGGAGGACCGCCCCCCCCTCTCCCCCCCTTCCCCGGCAGAGCCACCCCGGCGACCCCCCCCAAACAGAGCTGAAGCTCTTGCTGAGGCTCCTTGTAGTTCACACGCCGGATCGGCTGATTTTTTGTTTCAAACTCCGCCTCCGACATAATAGGCTTAGCCAGGAGAGCATGTGCACCGCCCCCCGCGGACCCAGGACCGGCCTGGCCAGGACCGGTGGTGGAAATAGATGGCGTCCGCACGAGGAGGACCTGGCCGAGTCGGCAGCCGCCCGCGTGCGCGCGGGTCACGGCGGCTTCTCGCTGGTGGCGCTGCTAAACGTGCTGGACCGGTGCTCCAGGCCCCGCGGGCTCCTGTCCGCGGCTCACTGCCTCCTAGGCCCGAGCCCCTCGTGGCTGTTGTTGGCCACGCCGCTGCCCTTCCGGCCCGCCTACTTCGGGCCCGACACCCGCTGGAGCGGCCGCCCGGTGGAGCCGTTTCTCGAGGCGCCCGCGCCGGGTGCCCCCGAGGCCAGCTGGGCCAGTGAGGCGGAGCAGATCCTCGACGGCGCCCTGCCCAGGGCCGGCTTCGAGCCGCGGGCCATCAGCCGCGTGCCGTACCTGTGCGGGGGCGACGCGTTCGCGCCAGCTTCGGAGCTGGACGCGCTGGTCGTGCTCGCGGAACGAGCGATCAGAAGCGGGGGGAACGCGGAGGATGCCTGAAGCACCGCTCGCGCCTGATGGCGCAGCCATTGCCCGTCTCGATACGGAGGCGGAGGCGGAGAGCCGTCGGCTTCGCGGTGCTGAACGCAAGGTGGCCCTCGGGTGCGATGGCCGCGCCAGGTTTCGGTGATGCACGTCGTGCGGACCGCTATGTTGCAGCTGGAAAGGGACCTTGCCACGGAGCACTGGGAGATTTACGCGTGTGTGGGCTGAGCCCGTTCGGGCTGAGAGTGTGGAGGCATTCTTCGCAGAGCACTCACGGGCGGGGCCTTCAAGCCGCTCCTATGCATCCAGACTGCGGCAGCATTTCGCCCATTCCTCACAAGGGAGGCGCCAATCTCCCAGATCCGAAGCTGCCCTGGAGACCCTGTCGGTGTTGGTTTCCTTCGGGCTGCGGTGTGATGTGGCTGATTTTGAGCAAGGGGCATTTGGACAACCTGAATCCGACACTGTCCTTTTCAAAGAGGCGCTGGAAGTCTACAGTTGGGACGCGCTTGAAGAAATCGTCGGGGTACCTTTTGCTTCTTCGCTGCGCGCGCTGCGCGGTGACCTCCCGCGGGCGCTAAGAAGCTGCTGCATTAGGGGTGCCTTGGCCCCCCCCCGATTTGCACCTCGCGCGTGAATTTCCATAATTGGGCTTCTTGCGAGGGTTTCTTGCGACCTTGTCCGCACTGTATGAGGGTTTGAATGATCGTCCCAAGACTGTCTTCATGCTGACACAATTTCCAGCCGATTTCGACGATCCAGCCGCGTAAGTCCCTTCCCAACAGGCGGCACGTGGTGCACCCGACCGTCGAGCACTACTTGCGCGTAGGGGACATCGCAGAGTCCAACTCTTTGTAAGGTAGTTTGCCCTTAGGTCCGTCGCGGCGAAAAAGGTCAGGTCGCAGTGAGCAATTGACGACCGGAGTTTCCGACCAGCCCTCCACGCGGGATTTCTGAAGCCGGATCGATCCGTGAAGGCCCCTGGGGCCCGAAACGGGGCCGGAACTCCCGTCGTGATCTCACGACGCCGGACTCGATGGCACGCGCAGCGCGTTGTACATGGCGGCTTCGCGAAGTTCGAGCGAAGAGAACTGCGCATGTGCACAGTCTGCTTTTCTCTGGAAGTCGTCGCCGCCGCGAGGCAAGTTCCGCAACTTCCGGGAGGCGGAGCTGAAGCACGGCCGCGTGGCGATGATGGCCTCCGTGGGGCTCGTGGCACGCCGCGCGCGCGCCCTGGCTCCCCAAATGCGGCAGGAGGTCCACGGAGCCAGCGGCGACGACGACGAGGACAAAAGTCAATGACGACGACGACTACGGCGAGGGCGATGATGACTCTGACGACAAGTGCGACGATGCAGAACTGCATTATGTTAGGCCAGAGGCGTAAGAAACTGGCGGTCAGGGCAGGGATAGACTGGGAAGTAGAAGGTGGGCGGACGCAGAGGTGAGGCGTCCATATTTGTTGATCCAGGGTTTCATGAGTCGGCGGCTTCCCCAGCAGCGGTCCCAGTTTCTGAGGCCACTTTGCGCGAGATTGTACACCCGTGGTTGTCCCAGAATGCGTTCAAGTTTAGCAGGCCAGGTGGTCCAGGCATCTAGGGTTAAGGTGTTTCTTAATCAACAGCCTCGGCTTTAGGCGGCAGCATCGGGACCACAAGCTCGTGTCCCGTAGAGGGTCCTTTTCCATTCGGGCCTACCTAGTCCCACGCTTTTCAGACAAGGCGCGGGGTCGAATCACAGGGACGAGCCACAAATGCAACTTTAAGCGCCCTGGACTTCCTGCACTTCTTGCCGGCTTGGATTGAGTGAAGCTTATGGATTTGAAAGTGGATTCGTTTGATCCCAGAACAGGGGCAGCAACACTTCTCGGGGGCAGCCTGTTCCACTCCCATCGAGGGAGGCCAACCCTCCCTGCCAGCCCTTTCCACTGCGCTCTTGGCTTCTCGGGGGCACCGCGGGGGAGGCTGGCCACAAGGAGGTCGACTGGCTCGGAACTTCCAGAGTGATTGCCGCCAGGGGCCCGCTCGCTTGGCGCTCGGCGTGTGCTCTCGTGCCCACGCTGTGTCTCCCGCTCGTTACGTAGGCGCGGCTTCGCTTGCGTGTCTGCTCCTCCAGTAGATGGACAATATATTCGAACCCTTACACATTCGAGGGAGATTCTAAATCACCCCCACGCCCCCGACACCAATGTAAAGGCGGTGCTTTGGGGGTTCGAATATTTCTGTCCACTCACGCCCCCCCCCGTCGTCACGCCATCAATGTTAATTTCGGGGGTCTGGGGGGCATCTTGGGCCACAGGATTCGAATACAGTGTCCATGTACGGTCCTGCCGATCTCTCTCGCACGAATCTCTGCGTTGATGGGTGCTTCCTGCTCTTTCCTCTGCCCCCGTGGCCTTGTTAGCTCGAGCAGTTTCTCTGAACCGACCGATAACAGATCATACATATTGGTCGGTAGCACAATGTCATTCCGCAGCCGCCTTTGCGTATGGTCACACATCGCGGGAAGCTCACAGCAGAGTTGAGGATTGGTTGCACGTGTATGTCCCACTTCTCCCCCTTTTCCTGCCCCGCCCCATGCAGCGCGAGTGGGTAGCAAGCCAGGGGATCAGGAGATGGCAGACCAGAGGATTCATTAATACACGTTGCACCTTCCTCTGCATTCGACCTCCTCCGTGACCATCTCGGCCCAAACATCTCAAGCTCTTCTGCTTCCCCCATTTCTGAATCCCTCCCTCACCCTCCGCGGGGCTGGTCTTCACCGGGTGGGAAAGGCCACGTTGTCCGTTTTGGAGGTGCTTTCTGCGTGGGCCGCTCATTGGCACATCATGCCCTAGACAGGGGATGTTCAAAGTACCCGTGTGTTTGGATGTCCGATGATACGAATTGTCCCTCTCGGGACACGAGGGTGGGAATGTAAGTTGTGTCGCACGGCTCGATGCAGGCTTACCACGTTGGGCTGTCGAGGTTCCGTCGTCAATTGCGCCGAAGCCCAGGGTGTCTCTCCAGCGCCGCCCAGGCCAGGCGTCGGCAGTAGCGTCCAGGCCGGGGCTCTGTTGGCAGTGGCGCCCGGGCCACGTGTTGGCAACGGCGCTTCCTCCTCTGTCGCCGACGCTCCCACTCTCCATGGCATGTCTGATCTGCGCAGGGATTATGACAGTTGTGACGCGCTCGTGTCCAAGAGTCTTCCGTTCGTTCGCGTCGGCCTTTTGCGAAGCTTCGCGGTGGGCGATACCAGAGATCGAGCTTCGCACTTCTATTCCAGGCGACGCGGGCGCTGTCGGCCTGCAGCTGTTCGAAGTGTTGTCTGAAACTCTCATCCGCTGTGTACCCGAAACTTCCGACGAGTTGCAGAGCATTCTAGGCATCCTCGACGAGAAGGACGCCTCGGACGACGACCTCGCTTTCTGGTCGCAGGTGTGCCTGACGCCAGGTGACGCTGCTGCGCGGCATGGCTTGTTCCGAATGTTCGTGCATACTCGTGTCCAGACTATGATCGTGCCCGAAGTCGCATCAGCAGGCACATTGGTACTTGACGCCTAACTAGCGTTTGCAGTTGTTGAGCGCGTTGTGAATGCCGACGATTCTGCTGTCGAGGCTGCGGTAGACCTCCCCAAACTGGTACCGCCGCCGGGAAGACTTGCCACGCTGCACTGCGAGAGCCACAGCGAGCATGACCGGGTCGCCCAGATGCTCGAGGCAGTCATCGGAGCCGCCGAGCTCGTGGCGACCGATCGCAGTGGCTTCGAGGCCTGGTGCAGCGAGGCTCAAGTCCCGTGGCTGCGTATGCCGTGCGTCGAGCAGGTCGCTGCGCGGCTCGTGCAGGCGCCGAGTCTGCAGAGCTGCCCGTGCCCTCGGCAGCAGGATCTGGGCCAGGCTGGCGCGATCGTCGGCACAGTCCCTACGAGCCGCAAGCTCAGCGTGAGCCACGGATGGGACTCCATGCTTCACATCAGCGTCTCGGGCGAGAAGCTGCGCCTTCTCGCCGAGGAGTTCGACGGTTTCGGAGCCAGCGGTCCAGACGCCGTTTTTCTCGACCTCGGATCGTTGCCTCAACACGGCGGGGACAAGATGCCAAAAACTGTTTGGCGAACGACATGCTGAATTCCAACGGCGTGCCCCAGACGTCGTTCGTGGAGCGCACCCTCGCGCAGAAGCGCCAATTTGGAAATGCTCTTCGGAAGATGTCGCAGCTCTACGCTAAATTGCGAGGGGATGAGCGTCATCGTCCTCCCGCAGCAGGCACCTCCTGCTGCTTCCCCCGTTGGTGAGGAGGCTTGGGGGCCAGCGAGCGCTTCCCCAGTACGAGAACCGCTTTGAGTTCGCGAACGAGTATCCAGCTGCCTGCGGCAAGCCCTGCGACCGTGTTTTCGCAGCATCGAAATGGATACCGGATGGCTCGGTTAGTGATTTCGGGGCCTTCCGGGAACCACCGCTACAATGCGTGGCGCGGCCGTAATGTCACATGGTTGTCGCGGTTTTGCTTTTGGGGTGATTATGAGATGCTTCTGTTGTTTTTTTGGCGCGCGGTGTCTCTGGGGGGCCTTTTGAGGGCCCGTTGGGGGTCTAGGGGCCATCCGCCCACACATGACGTATAGAGCGGATGCGAGATGTGTTCTGCACAGGGCTTTGGCCCCAAGGGGGGCCCAGCGAGATGACGGAAAGAGCGCTAGCGAGAGAAGTATTGTAAACGGCTTTAGCCCCAATGGGGAGGGGTCCTGGTGGGGGCGTGGCGGGGCGAAATTTCTAGCACGCCCTCTGGGGGCCACGTTGGCGGCTTCTCCGGCTCTGGATGCTTCAAAACGGCCCACAAATGTTCGAAAACTGCCGAAGATATTCCTAAGACGGGCTCAGAGAGACACAAGAGGACCCGAAGACGGTCCAAGAGCGCCCCCAGGGGGCTCCTGATGTCCTTGTCACGGCCCTAAGAGGGCACCCTAAGAGGACCCCCAAGGGTTCGGAGGAGGCACGAATCATAACTGGTCCTTGTTTTTGTTGGCCTGGTTTTCGGATTCCCCCTTTTTCGGGCCCCGAGCGGCCACAGACGGCCCTGGGAGCCGCCGAGATCGCCCCAATACATCCCAAGAGACTCCCAAGAGGGCCTCAGAACGACCCAAGAGGGCCTCAAGACGGCCCAAGAGAGCCCTAAGACGGCCCAACGAGGGCCCCACAGAGCCTCAAGAAGCTCCTAGGAGAGCCCCGAAGGGACCATCGGAGGCTCCCAAGAGGGCTCCCTGACCCCCCCCCAAGACGGCCAAGGGTGGCGCAACGCGCTTGCGGCGCGCCCGCCGCCCCCTCGGCGGCGGTGGCCGCGGACACCTCGGCAGACGGTCTGGGGCCCCTCTGGCAACGAAGCCTCGGGCGGGGCATCCGCCGAGCCCCGGTTCATGCCGTGCGAGAGGGCACCACCGCGCGGCTGCAGGCAGGTGCCCCTCTCGGACAGCAGGGCCTCCGCCGCGGCAATTCGGGCGGGCGCCCCAGGGGGTAAGGCACGGAGGGCAGAGGGTGCGAGCAGGCTCGGAAGGCAGAGAAGGCCTCCGCCCTGCTGAGAAGCCTTCTGGGCCCTCTCCGAAGCCACGGAGGGCATCTCAGAAGGCCGGAGTGTCTGTGAGAAGCCCCTCTCACTTTTCCCCTCGGCGCGCCGCCGAGCCATCACAGATGGGCGGGCGTTCCCTGGTCAGTACCTCAGCGGATGAGGCAGCTTCGGATCGACTGACTTGAACATGCGGGAAGCCATGGATCGGTGCCTGTCCACGTCCAGAGCCGAGGGGATCAACATTCAATTCGATGGGCACGGCGGCGGCCTGTGGACTGTGCGTGGGTCGGCCGCTCCTCCATCTCCACCCGGAACCCGACGGAAAGCATATGATTTGTGATGTTCACGCAAGCCAGGAGTCTCGTCACAAGACGAGACAGTAGGCTCGCCAGGAGAGTTCGCCAGGGGACTAGCAACAAAACTAAAAAGGGCGGGTAGACCCTCAGCGTATCATCCATGAGATGCAGAAGCCTCGAGAGAGCATACTTGCAGGTGCCACTTCTCTGCGTAAGGTAATGGCAAGATGAAGCCAGCCAAGCAGGCAGCTGGTGCTTTGCACTGAGGGTCGGGGCTGGCAAGTCTTTTGATCGGTGCTTAGAGGAGCGTGGCAGCAAGCCGTGGGCTCCCTGTGTGCCGAGCTGCAAAAGGTGTTTCCTCCGCCAAACACGTTGGAAAGAGAGCTAAGTGTTTCTTGCTCATTCTCCCTCTCCCCTCAAAGCTTCCTCCCCCCTTTCCACGCCCTCACTCCCCGCCTCCGTGCACGGCGTCCACGCCTCTTGGGCCCCTGTCGTGCACGGTTTGCCGTGAGAGGGCCCAAACCCCGCGTCGCCCTCGAGTCTGCCAGCCCTTCGCCGGCCGACTCGCGCGCCTTCCCTCACTCCCTCCTTTACGCCCTCCCTCTGTCCCTCTCTTCCCCCCCCGTCCCCCTTGCTCCTCCTGCTTCTCCCTTTCCGCCCCCTCCTCTCGCTGTCCGCCCTCCACACCGCCCGCGACCCTCTCCGCGCCACTGCCGCCGCTGCGCCGCTGCCGCTGCAGCAAGCCGCGCCGCTGCCGCCGCTTTTGCCGCAACGCCGCCGCTGCCGCCGCCGTTGCCGCGCCGCCGCCGCCGCCGCCGCCGCCGACGCCGATGCCGCCGCTGCTGCCGCCGCCGCTGCTGCCGCTGCCGCCGCTGCCGCCGCTGCCGCGGCCGCTGCCGTTCCCCTTGCAAGGGGCAGCACTTCCTGAAGTTCCCGGGCTTCGAGGCGGGGCCCGGGGCTTCTCTCCGCCGGAGCCTTCGAGAGGGCCCGCGGCCCGCCGCAGGAGGGGCTGAGTGTTGCGAAGAGGCCCACGGCTGGATTCTTCGGAGCAGCCACGGCAGCCGCCGCGTGGCGCGGCCCGCTGTCGGGTGGAGCAAAGGAGGCCGTGCCCCTGCCCCTCGTCTTACTGGCCCCCGCCATGAAGCAAAAGGGTCCAGAGGGGAACGGGTCCAGAGTTTTTCCGTTGTTTTCGGGTTCCCGTGGCCCTCCATTGGCCGTGGGTCTGTCAGAAAACGATTGAAGACGCAAAACTCGTCCTCGGAAAGCCTGGGATCCATGACCCGTTTCTCTCGGGATCTGTTTGATTCTTGCCAATCGCCCTCGCCTTGGCTGCCATCCTCGTCTTAGGTCGTCCCCGGGGTGTTCATGAGTTCATGAGCACCACCGGACCTCGCCACACGTCTTGACGAAGACCTTCGAAGAACACGTTCAGTGGACGCTTGGAAGGGGCGGGGGGGGGTGCTCGAAACGCCCCCCCCGAATTGCACGGGGGTGGGGTTCGAACTGGCCCTCCCCCCCCACTCGACAGGGGCAAACGACGACGGCCGGCGGCGGCAGCTGCGGCGGCGGCGGCGGCGACGACGACGACGATAACATTAGTAGGATTCTCTGAAAGCTGGATCGTACCTTAGTAGGATTCTATTAGAATTGGATCGAACCTTGAAAGGATTTCATCCAACTGTATTAAGATCTGGGCCGAACCCGACTTGGGCTCTGTCAGAGCTGTATCTAGCCCTAGTAGGATTCTAGAATGGCTGGATCGAGCCCCAGTTGCATTTGTTAGAGATGGGTCGAACCTTAGGCGGAGTCTATCCAAGCTGGATCGAGCCTCAGTAGGACTCCATTAGAGCTGGATCGAGCCCTAGTAGGGTCCGATTGGAGCTGGATCGAGCCCTCGTAGGATTCCACGAGAGCTTGATCGAGCCCGAGTAGCATTTTATTAGAGCTGGATCGAGCCCTGCAGCCGTTTTTCAATTCCATGTTCCAATTTCCACACCCAAGTGGAAGGCCTCGGGCCAGGGCGTCAACAGTCCCCAACCATGGCTCTATGATGGCAAACTTGGGTTCTCGCTCGTGTCGAGGCCGTGGTGAGGCCCTCATGTGAAAGGTCTCAACATACCCACCGCTGTGGCTCCCGCAGTGCAGGCGTGGATATATGGCGCATGTCGAAGCCATGTTCAGGCCATGTTAAGGCCCTCGGGGAAGGGCTGCATCACCCCCTCCGACGTGAATTCCGCAACGCAGGCTTGGATTATGGGGCCCATGTTGAGGCCATGTTGAGGCCACCAAGTCATGATTTCAACATCCCCCGAGGTAAGTCCAGCAACGCAAGCTTGGATTGTGAGGCCCGTGCTGAGGACATGTTGAGACCCTCGGGGCAGTGCCCTAACACTTCACCAACGCGCCTGTCGCGAAGCAGGCTTGAATTCTGGATCATTTGGCGCATGACGAGGCCATGTTGATACCCTCAGGTCACGGCCTCAACACCCCCCCGACGTAAGTTCCGCAACGCAAACTTGGATTCTGGGGCCCATATTGAAGCGGTGTTGATGCCCTCAGGTCAGGGTCCCAACATCCCCCGACGTGAGTCCAGCAACGCAGGCTTGGACGTTGAGGCCCATGTCGAGGCCATTAAGGCCATGGTGATCAACCCTCAGGTCAGGGCCTCAACATAATCCCGACGAGTTTCCCGCACGGCAGCCTTGGATGCTGGGGCCCATCTTGAGGCCACGTTGAGGCCTTCGTGTCTAGGCCTCGACATCCTCCCGACGTGTTTCCCGAATAGCAGGCTTGGGTTGTGGGGCCCACGTTGAGGTCCTGCTAACTTCTGTGATCATAAGATGTCGGGCCTCATCGTGCACCTTGCACGGTAGCCCAAGGGGGGATGGACTACTGCGGAATGTCATCGAATGCGATGACGACGGCGCGGCGGTTTCTGAACATTTACAATCGGAGTTGCAAACTGCTGTCGTAGGATCCTCTGGGACCAAGCCCGAGTAGGGTTCCGCTGGAGTTGGAACGAACTCCGGTGGGATCCCATTAGAGCTGGGCCAGGGCTTAAGAGACGGGGGTCAGTGCCAACGGGGGGCCGCCAGAGCGCCGGACCTTGCAGGATCCTGCAGAGGCCAGGGTCGCACTGACCCGGGTTTGGGTGCAGGATCCTGCAGGATCTTGCAGGATCCTTCGCATTGACCCGGGTTTGGGTGCAGGATCCTGCAGGATCTTGCAAGGCCCGACTGGCCCGGGTCTGGATTGACCCGGGTCAGCAGATCCCTGGCTGGGTCGAACCTGCGCTGGGTTCTATTAGAGCTGGATCGGGCCCTAGTCCACCGAAGGCCCCAGTGGGAGGGCTCGGGCACCACCGCGCCCATTCCGGCACACCCCTCACACGTTGCCTTGTGCCCCGTCCTTCCTGCGGCTCGCTGCCTGTGAGGAGAGGGCTGCGCCCGGCGGTGTTCGCAGTTCGCCCGCCCCTTCCAACGTTCCATTTGCCTTGCGGGACTCGCAGCTGCATATGGTTGGGTCCCTCTCCAGGAGAAGTACATCGGCGCTGGACCTGGACTCCCCTGACGGCTCCGCTTCGGTCCTACCTGGGCGGCCTCCTGCCGGCAGACACGCAGCCGTTGTCCTTCTGTCGCCTTCCGCCAGCCTCCGCCGAGGCTTCTTCAGGAGCGCGCCACCTGGGCGGCCTCCAGAGGGGAGGTGGAGGATGTTGTGCTGGTGTCCGCCTCCCCCGATTCAGGCCTCGACAGGCGGACGGGGGCATTTCCAAGAGAAGGAAGGCAGGAGGAGCCAGGAAGGAGCGGCAAGGGAAGAGAGAGGGAGGAGGGAGGAGGCGGGAGGAGCCAGGAAGGAACGGGAAGGAACCAGGAAGGAAGGAAGAAACGGGAAGGGATCCAGGAAGGACCGCGGGAAGGGAGCCAGGAAGGAAACGGGAAGGGAACCAGGAAGGAACGAGAAGGGAGCCAGGAAGGAAGGAGGAGCCAGGAAGCAGCGGGAAGGGAGGAGGGAGGGAGGAGGGAGGGAGGCGGTAGGAGGGAAGAAGAGGATGAGCAGCAGGATGAGCAGCAGGGAGGGTGACGCAGGGCACGGCGGCGCTCTGCCACCAGACTGGGGCCGCCTCGCCGTCGCCGCGCCGCCGAGCCGCGAGCGCTGGTGCCAGAGGCCGTGCCGAGCGGCATCCGCGCCGCCGACGTGTCGCCCGGGCTGCAAGGCGGGGGAGGGGCAACGTTACCCTGGACGGGGTATTGATCAAGGGGGGGAGGTGATAAACCTTCCGACTGGGCTTGCCCAATCCCGCCCCCTCCATCTTCCTCCCCTTCCTTGTCCTCCTCCTCTCCTCTTCCTCCAACCCCCCCTCCACCCGTGCCGACAGCACGTGCCCAACCCCCCCAGCGGATTCAACGGGGGGGTGATTATTGCCCCATCCAAAGTAGGGGGGATAGGCTCAGGGGCCACATGGGGGTAAAAGCTCGAGGTTCGAGTTTTTGTTCGCACGTGTTCGCCGGTTCCCAGCGGTTGTCCAGCTGCGAGATGCTCTCCAGCGGCTGCGCCTCGCCAAGGGCGTTCTGGGGGTGCCCAGGTCGTCCCGAACGGCCGCTGGAGACCCGAGTCATGACTCCTGCTCGTTCTCCCCCTCTTCCCCGTCCTGTTCTCCCTCTCGCTCCCCCTCCCCCCGTGCGGGCAAAATCTATGCCCATATCCACTGATTCTCGGATTTCCGGGCTCCCTTCCCAATAATCCTACGCAGTGGAGTGAATTTTGATAAGAATCAGGCCTCTATCGAAGCCAGATTATGATTAATATCTGCTGCGCCTTTGGGTTTTGGCATCCTTTCCCCAAAAGTCCAAGACTGCAAGGATATGGATATAATATTGCCTGCACTCTGTTATCCTTCCTCCTGCTTCCTCCTCGTCCTCCTCTTCCTGGTCCTCTGCGTAAAACTCAGGCCGTTGGGCTGGACGGGAGCCTTCGCAGAGGCATTGACATCCAACTCTTCGTTCTCGCCCTCGTCCTCGTTGTCGTCCTCCTCATTTTCTGTCTCCTCCTCCTCCTCCTCTTCCTCCTCCTCCTCCATAGCCATTTTGGCTCAAAGTGGTTCAGTGACCAATCAAGGTATTCGCCACAGATGGCTGCCCTGCCAGGCGTCCACCGCCTTTCCTTTCCACATCCTTGCACGCCACACCCCTTCCTGCACGTCGGTCTACTGAGGGGACGCCCTACGTTCTGGTGGCAGCGGCCTCCGTCGAGCCTGGAGTGCTCTCTCGTTCTCTTTCCGCCCAGCGCTGGGCTGCTCCGATGGGTCTGCCCAATGACGATATGGTTGCCAAGTTCATCTGTAAGTATGAGGAGGCCGCCACCTTCCCGTCTCAGGAAGTAATGGACGCTGCTGCTGCTGCCAAGGGTGCCGCCCGCTCTGGCAAAGGCGCTGCTCCTCTTCGGTCTTGCGTTCCTGTACCTCCTGCTCTCAAGCGTCGTGCTCTGCCACCCGCTGGCGCCACGGATGTCGAGAAGCTGCAACCTGACCTTGGAGATACGAACGACTCATCCGAGGCCTTCATCAACCGATGCTGTGACGATGTCGTCCACCCGATGTTGGGCCAGATGCGGGAGGAGCTCTCCAATGACCTTGGGAGGTCACCCACTACGACGACCACCAACAACCTCACAGAGTCGAATCAGTCCGTCCTCGCGCTTGTGGACCAGCTGCGTGCACAGTTGGCCCAGCAGCCTGCTCAGCTCGACCAGCAGATACTGGCCGCGGTGCGGCCTCAGGTGGACGCGTCTGCCCAGGGCTTCAGGCGCAATTTGATGACCATCAGAATCAGGTTCAGCGTGCCAATGCCCTTGTCTCGAAGGTGGAGGAGGAGATGGCGGCCATGCGTGAGCAGATGGCGGAAATCAGGAAGGCGTTCTATCTGTCCGAGGCGCGCCCGCGCGCGCCGGTGCTCAAGGCCAAGGGCTTCGATCGCGACGTCGACGCCACCATCGTCGTTGCCCTGGCCCAGCGCCCGACGACTGTCAACTGCGTGGCTGCGGTGTGCGTGCTGTGGATATCCTCGCTCGGTTTCGCTGCTGACACGTTCTCAATCGAGATCGTCGGTCAGGAGCACACGACAAAGTTCCACATGCATCGCGAATGGTTGCCGAAGTTCTCTCGTCCCTGCGCACGAATGGGGAGTGGGCGGAGTTCCTGGTCGGTGTCCCTAGGGCTGAGAGGTGCCGTGTACATCTTGGACCAGACAAGTCGCCACGTCAGATTCGCAGAGACATCATTCTTCGGCGCGCTCTTTCCCCCACTGCCGAGGCTTATCCCAACTTTCGGCTGTTATCGGACCGCGAGAGGGCCGCATTCCCTGTGTGCGGGGACTGCATGCATCATTCGCGTCGAGGTGCACCCTGGGGATGCGCCTGCAGAGTTCTTCTATGACGTGCAGAAGCTTGAGAAGCATGGCCTCGTCAAGCAATAGCTTATCGACCTGCTGGCTCCCATCGTCGCCCCTGAGTCGGAGACCGCGCGGTGTCTTTGACGTCTGGCGGCTACTCAAGTACTCGGCCCCGACGGTGCTGTCACCAGCTCCATCACTACGCGTAACTAGTGACGTGGAATGCTCGAGCTCTGCTTCAACGTGTGGGCACTCGTGAATCTATCGAGCATGACTACATTATGCGGTTGCAGCCAGCCTCCTCGATAGTGTGTTTGCAGGAAGTTCGTCAGGACGAGATGCAGCCCCGTGCCTTTCAAAAGCCTCTGGCGCCCTCTGTGACGCTACACTCGTCGTTTTGTGAAGAACCCCCGAGGATGGCATTCGAGGTGGATTGGCCGTTCTCCTTCCAGAATTTTGTCAGGTAGCTGGAGAGCGCGTGCGGGGTCACGCGGTGGTTCTTGTGTCTGGTCGGGTTTTGAATGTACGCAACCATGAGCTAACGCGTTCCGAGGTGAGCGAGATCGCGAGGGTGGCCATCGCTGCCGAGTAGGCTGCTGCGCGGGCCCCGTCTCAGAGGCTCTCGGTCGCGGCCAGCGATTTCAACTTCGCGGCGGAGGAGGCGGCGCTGCTCCACCTGCCGCGGGCTGCTGTGCGGCGCGCCGCTCGGCGACGTCGCGCGCGCGCGAGCTGCTGGCGACGGGCGCTGGCCTAGCTCGTCGAGGTCGAGCGTGGCGCGCCGTCGCGCTGCGAGGAAAAGATCAACTCGGAGGCCCCCATTGATCGCGCGTTCGTTTCTCTCCCCGGTTGGCAAGCGCGTCGGCGTCACCATCGGGCCGCCGCAGTTGACTCGGCAGCGCAGGTATCGGATCGCCTCGCTCATCTCTGACTATGCAGCAGCTGTCTCCACGCCCGCCCCTCGTTCGGCTCGCCCTCCAGACGAACTGCCTCTAGCTAAGCATCTATGCCGGGGGCTATATTTCCGAGAGCTTCTTCGGGCGATGATTGCGCGCGCAGATTGGTCGAGCATGTCGCCGCCGCGTCGCCCGGGGCACGGCGAATATTTCAAGGGGGGGGAAGCGCGTGAGACTCGGGGCTATTTGTTTTGCCGTCGGCCACATCACCCTTCCACATTACTTCAGCTCGCTCGGTCGCTTGCTCGCGTGGTCTGGCGCCAAGATGCGCCCTCGCTTGTCGGCCCCTCGAACCCCGCCCTGTCGCCTCGAACTTCGTCGAGATCGCCGGGTCGAAGGCAGCGCTGGTCCGCCCTGAGCCCTTCCGCGCGCGGTCGGATCGCCTCCGGCGCAAGGCCGCGTAGCGCGCTGGAGCTGAGCTGCAAAAACGCAGAGAGCTGCAGGGTGATTCGAGAAGCTTGCGCCCGCAGGTGGGAGCTTTTGAGGAACGTGCTCGGTTGTGGCCCCCGCCCAATCGCCGCGCGCGCTTGTCGGCAGTCACCGAAGACCCGAGCCAGGCTGCGTTCGGCCGCCTGTGCGGATGGACCTCCTGGAGCGCTACCGGGCCCCCGCTTTCTCTGAGAAGTCCTGGGGCCCGAAGCTCGCCGAATCGCGCGTGGCCCAGCATCTCCCCAACAGTGATGACCTAGTTAGTTCTACCTCCGCCGACCCCGAGGCTGATGAGGAAGGTCCTCGCGGGGGCCATGGACTCTGCGATTGGTTGCGACGGGCTGTCCTACTCGGCCTGGCGCCCGGACCCCTGCGGCGCCGCCATCGCCTGGTAGTGTCTCGAGTGGATCATGGGAGGTCGGGCGTTGTTCGACTCGGCGAGGCTCGCCGTGCAGGCAGGCTTTCCTCCCGACGAACATTGGCGATGATGAGATGCGGGTGGGTCAGGCCGATCGCTCTGCGGACATGGCGCGCGCTTGGCTCGCGCAGTTGCGATGTGAAGATACTGTCTGCCACAATGAACGCAGCTATTCGCCCTGCCCTTGAGGCCGTTGCCCCTCCGTGCCAGCGAGGCTTCGCCCCCCAGCGCAATTTCGGTTTCACTACCGTGGAAGTGGGCGTCTCGAGCCGCCAGCAATCGCGCGCCCCTCATGGGTCTCGCGCCACGCCCGCGTGGACTACGGTCAAGCCTTCCCGTCGCTGAACCAAGAGTTCTTGCGATTCGCACATAGCGCCCTGCGGTTGCCTGACGTGCCCCTCCTAATCGCGGGGTTCCCCGACCAGGCCATTGAGGGCATCGCGATGACTCAATGGGGTTCAGGGTCCACTTTTATCGAGTCCGAAGTGGGATTGGACATGGTTGCGCGCTCTCGGGGGCTCTCTACGCCATCGTTTCCGCTCCGTTCCTTTTTACCACCTGCTCGAGATTGTTGAGCGCGCCGGCCGCGGGCCGGTGCGAGCGCGCGCCGACGACGTCGGCGGGGCGCTGGAGAAGGCAGAGAATTTGGCCTTGCTCGTCCTCGTCGCGAGGTTTGCGGAGTTGTTCGCCAATCTGGCCTATGAGACTTCGAAGTGCCACGCGGCCTCCCTTGCAGGCCCCCCGCGTCCTGAACTTGCCCAACGTGTTCTGGAGGTTGTGTAGCGGCCCGCGCCTCAGTGGGCATCTATGCAGATTGTTCCTGAGCTTTCGCACCTGGGTGTCCAGTCGGGCCCCGCGGCCGACCTTGCGAGGCCCTGGGGAGCCCCGCTCGAGAAGTTTCGTCTTCGGGCTCGAGCAATTGGACGCAGCGTCGCCCCAGCCAGCACGCCGCCTTTCATATATATATATATATGTAATGCATATACACGTTTACAGATACACATACATATACAATTACATATACATA